CATAGTATAAAGAGGCCAAGTAGCAACCAAGTACTGCTAATAAAGTGCCCTTGACCAATTGATCATTAGCAAATGTGGCTACATCTATAATAACTGAAGCTGTAAGAGTTTCCTGGCCTAATAAAGGATAAAGAATGAGCAATAATCTTAGAAAAGCAATTGTTGCTCCTCATCAATTTGGGAAGGTTTAAAGGCCATTTCCAAACAATTTAAAATTCATCATTCTACAGTGAGGAAGATTATTCACAAGTGGAAGGTCAAGCCCAAATTTGACATATGTGTAGCCATTTTATTTAGCTCTTTATTATACTCATTTATTCTTTTTCTTCCTCTTTACTATGTAAGGGGGGCTTTCGGGCTCACCACATTCTTAAGGTGAGGGAAAGAAGCGAATAGATGGTAAGATTGTTTTGGCTAGGTGACCTTCTTTCCCGTGGGAACAGAGGCTGCTCCTGGTATGAAGGGAAGGTGGAGTTTGAAGACACCGGGCAATGTGGGGGCTTTAACTAATGAAATGATGCCTAAAGACTCTGCAATATTTGAAGCACCAGTTTTGCCCATGGTTTCACTGAGCTCCAGTAAAGGCAGAAAATACTTTCTACAACCTCTTTGGTGACAACCCAATTGAAGTAGTCCGCCCTTACTGACTGCAATTGGGACTTGCATCAGTGTCACTAAGTGTCCCGATCGTGAAGCATGATGCCACAACAGTGCTAACTTACATTTTTCTTCCTACAATTTATTTAGCTTTTAATGTGTATGTATCTTTTTATGTCTCTAAGCTGCCCACAGTAGTATCATGGTAAGGTTGGTGGCCAATAAATTTTATAAATAAATACACTGAACAATCAAAACATTTGTTAAAAAAGTGTTGGGTTAAGCACAGTTGAACCTGGTTAATAATGGATGGTGGCAACAATAGGAAAACAAATGGAGGGGACTTCCGGCGGTGACATCATAGCGGAGAGGGTGAGATCACAAAAAATTCAAAAAGTAGAAACAAAGGTGGAACAAATGGAGAAAAAAATGGAAACAATAGATCAGAAGCTGACTACAGTACATAGGGATCCAGAAGAAAAAATAATCTTCCTGAAAATGGAAAAGGCTGCCTTCTTTCTCCAATTCCAAAATATAGTAGAAGAGAAGGAGGAGGATCTAGGGGAAATAGTTACAGAAATTGTGGTAGACATAGTGCAAAAAAATAAAAAGGATACAAGGGACATAGACGAAGTGTATTGAATTCACACTAATTATGATAGGAGAAATAGACTCCCAAAAGAAATACACGTACGATTCACAAGAAAATCAATAAGGGATGAAGTATATAAGAAAGTAAAAGAGATAACATACAAAGGAAGAAAAATACAAATTCTGAGACAGATACCAAAAATAATTAGAGGCCAGAGAAGACATTACCAGTTCCTTACATCACAACTGATAAGATATAATGTAATGTTTAGATGGCTTACACCAGAGGGAGTTATGATCACTTGACAGGAAAAAAGGTATAAAATAGATACAATAGATCGTGGCACGACAAAACTGCGCTCGTCAAAATAGCAGCGATAAAACCGCGTCGCTAAAGTCACGACGTCATCACCGCGCGTCATCACCGCCGCGACAACAGCGCGGCGACAGAAGGGCGTTTTAAAACAGCGCGGCGGCAGAAAGCCGAATTAAATTAAGGTAAGGGGTAGGTTTAGGGTTAGGGTTAGGGTTAGGGTTAGGGTTAGGGTTAGGGTTAGGGTTAGGTTAGGCTGAGTGCTTTGGAAGGCGCGGTTTTGCCCTTCGCCCTTATGTCAGCGCGGTAAGGTCGCATTTGCTTTAGCGATTTGGACGGCGC